CAGCCGCCAAGCCCACAACAGCCGCACAACCCAACACAGCGGCAGTCGCCTACAGAAGAAACCATTGATGTGGACTTCTTCTAAAAGAAACAACCACACCGAGCAGTACAAGAGGCGGCCTGCAGCTAGCGCTGAAGCGGCAACCAAGGCCAAAGAGCCGTCGACACAGGCAGAAAAGAGACCTTTAGGAGAAAAAAATCCATCCATCCATCCATCCATACATACATACATACAAGACAGACAGACAGACAGACATACATACATACATACAAACAAGTAGCATCAAGTAGCTCACCATGTTCCATGCGCTTCATGCCCCGTTCGAGCCCTTCATTCATCGACATGCAGACCGGCTCAAGTTGCACTACAAGACTAGAAAGGTTTGTCCCAATGAAGCTGTTTGGTGCCTTGAAGAAGTCCTTGACCAAGAAGCGAAAAGAGGCGCCTGCAGCCGCAGCTGAGCCCTTGGAGCAAGGTGAAGTGAATTCCTCGGTCTGTAGCGAAACTGACTCTCAACAAGAGTCCGTGTTCTCTTTGCCTGCCCAACCAGAAACGAAACCCAACCTTCGTTTTGCCAGGCCTGTCACTGACGCGCCTGTGAAGCTATTCAGTGATAAGGAAACAGACGAAGAAAAGCTAGTCGGTGTTGTCATTACCATCTTTGCGGAACACTCATATGATGAGAATTTCAGAGAAGTGCGACCTGAGACCGTGCCAGGGGAAAAGGTCAGCACATATTCGATGAGTTTGTTCTCAGTTGGGGAGCTCCATGAGTACTTGCTGGGAACCCAAGTTCCTGAAGGTATTTGGAGACAAATCGTGGAAGACATTCGCAGCGTTCCAGCAGACAGTGTGACCTTCAACTGGGAGTGCTGTGGGGCATGCAGTGATGGTGGCTTCTGCAATTCTCGCCCCCGCCGATCACGAAGATCTACTCTTCCAGGGGCAAGTCCTACGATCCATCTCATCTCCTTTGCTTTGCAGAGCGGCTTTTCGGTGATGTGCTCTGATTTTAGTTTGAAGGCGCTGATTGCTGAGTGGTCCGAAGAGCTCCTGGGCCCCAATCCTTTCCTCCGAGTGCGTGGCAATTGTGATTCCCAGTTTCAGTTGGGCTTCTTCCCAGAGCACTTGAAGGATGACGAGGTGCCTCAGCAGCTGCAAGTGGTTGGGGAACTTTGTGCCAAAGATGGCAAGGCGGTTGTGACTGCCATGAGCGACACCATCGTCTACACAGTGAATCCGAGACGTCAGGAAACTGATGCTTACCAACTGAAAGTTCTGACTGTGGTGACCCAATGGGCTGGGGGCTCCATGCCTGCAGCCATGGAATGCGAGATTCAAGAAGGTGAAGCAAGGAAGCGTGGTGCTGCAGGTCATGTGGCTCTTTCTTATCCTTCAGGGGGCCAGCTCATTACCAGTATGGGTCACTGGATCGAACTCACTCGCATCGATACTTCGGTCGAATCCATCATGCAAGTGGCGGCCAAGAACTTTGGTGAGCACGAGATTCGCAAGACACGAGCAGCCTTGAGTGGAGCAAGGACTGAAACTGAAAGGATGAGATGCTTGCAGGACCTCAGCAAGGAAATGATTCAAAAGTCCATTCCTTCCAAAATGAAAGGCCGGACAAAATATTGAGCTGCTTCACCTTGCATTCTTTCGAGCTTGTGGATGCTTCGTGTACAGTAGAAGCAACTGATCCTTTGGACTTCTAAAAATGATTCTAGCCTCTACTTCCAATGCAGCGGAAGTTGACGCAAAACAGAGATTTGAGATTCATATGCCTGATATGCTCACTGGAAAGTCCCCCACCCATGAAATCTGATTCTTTGTGGTGAGCCGCATAGAGAAAGCCAAAGTGCATCCCCACTCCATGTTTCTGCAAGTAGCTGGACAAAGAGATTCAAGGCCTAGTTCAGCAAATTTTCTTGCGCTGACTGCAGGCTACCAAAGGAGGCGCTGATCGACTTTGATGTGTTTGTAGATGTGGCAGCTTGGCAAACACGAGAGCTTCCGACAAAGCCTTCAGCTGCAGCTGCGTTTGTCCCGCACAGAACACAACTAACGTGTTGTTGTATTTTGTTGTCTATTAGCCGAGTCAGCTGCCTTTTGATCTACAGTGGCCCAGTATATAGAGAAATTGATTTTGAGAAGACTCGAAGACAGGTGTTTCTTTGGCATTTTGATGATTTTGATTGCGCACCAGAAACGAAAAGGGCCGAGCTTAGCCAAGGTGGATGCTTGCCGACTTGAGTTTGTCAAGCAGTGCGGTAGCATAGCGGGCCCTTGTTTGGCATATGATATATACAACATTCTCTTACAAGGGCCTACATTGCTTGGGCAAAGCATGTTTAGCAGCGTGCTGGTCTACTGACTGACATCTATCACCTACATAACAACGTGTTTTTACGAAACAAACTTCACACATGATGCTGCAGCTGGTTTTGCTGGTTTGAGTGATGCGTGCATCGGCCGAGGGAGAAGAAAAAAGCAGGTTTCACTGATGAAGAGTGATCACCTCAGAGATTGAGACCACGTGATGAGGCTGAGCAATTTGTTCTTATACCCTGGTGACCACCCAGAGCTCGCAGCCTGAGACTGTGAGGTTGGAAAGATACACCGAAGCGTTCCAGAAATTTGCCGCACTGCCTGTTTGATCCGAGTGATGAAGCATAGATTGTTCACGATAGTTGGGCAATGATTGGGGTGGCTGCTCGGATTTTTGTTTTGGGCTGAGGCTTGTTGACTTGACTTTGCATTGTAATAGTTTGTTTTTGTTGTACAGAACAGATCTTTGTAAAGTCGCCATAAGTCGCCAGTGGACCCTGCACCGGATGCCCTTTGTTCCTAGTAGCGTTCTTGTTACTGTATAGTCGTAAAGCCAGGAGCTACTAGTAGCGACCGTGGATACTGAAAACTTCATATGTGTCGCAGCATGCTGGGAGCTCATAGGATGCACGCCAGACGGCAGGACCGCGATGGCAGCGGTTCCATCGAGGGGCGAGAGCTATTGAAGCTCTTGGAGGCTTCGTCGCTGCATTCACAAGAGAGAGCTGCAGCCCATCAGCGAGGACGACAACCACAAGGGCAGTACATAGTTTCGCTCTTTATTGAGCGTCCTTGCTCCTAGTAGCGAGGCCAGGAGCCCCTAGTAGCGTCCTTGCTCCTACCACTGGTGCTTCCAGTTTCATAATGCAAATTGGTGTCTTTCGGGAAGGTGCCGGTGCTGGGTCGGACATTGTTCCTGCAAGAGGGAACCTTGATCAGGCCTTCAAATGGGAACCTCGATCAAAGCAAGAGCGTGAGGCAAGTGCTTCGATGGTGTTTACCTCGTCATGCTAGTGCATTGAAACACGAAAGAGAGTGCAGTACAAATAAAAAATAGTAATATATATATACTGTATATAAGTATATAAGTGTTCATTTTCCAGGACAAACAATGAAAACACATGTAGTTGCAGAGGTGTTTGGGGAATTGATCTCAAAACAACAACGTGCTTGCAGGTCCTCATGGGCAGGTTGAACACCGCACGAAAGCGAGCCCGGGAGGCCAGGTGCATCAAGAGAATGTTGAAATGACCCCCTGTAGGAAAATATCGAAAAAGCGTTTGGGTCCCTGAAATAATAAGACCTCGCCAAAGAGGCCCTAACCTTCCTATTGGCCGCTCCCACTTTGCATTTGGTAGCTTTTCAGTTTAAGAAAGGAAGTGTGCAAACTGCTGAGAATTGCACAAGTGTCAAGTGTGTTGACTTTGGGCGCCCTTCTTTGCCATCCATTTAGCGTCGGTCTCGAACTGAACGCGCTTTTGCGCCTTTCAGGCAGAAGCACCGAAGGCCCATTGTACTTGGGCAAATGCATGCATTTCCTCCTTGCATTGAAGGAGCAGTGTCTTCAAGCGTGAAAGGAGCAGGCTTTGGCCCACTAATTAATTAAGAAGGTATCGCGGCGGTTCCTCCATAGGTCTTTCATTGACCTTGAAACATAGGCATATCAATGGACTCTGAATCTTTTGGAGGCCCACCCGAGCCGATACCCGCCAGGTGTCCAAAGATGACAGTCCAGAGTTCGGCTTTTGGGAGCACTCCTGACATGTGGCATGACTTCCACTGACTGCACACACAGACGACCCGGGAGATTCAGTTGACCCGCCAGATTCATCCAGCTGGCCAGAGAGCTCAATACTCTTCATGAGAAGGTTGGGGCTTGGGCCCAGCCGTCGTTTGTTAAGTTACTGTTTTTGCAGTCAATAACACTGCATCCCATTGGAATTGACGTCCATTCGAATTCAAGTCGTGCTTTACGCGCCAGACAATCCCCCAAAAAGGACAATCAAAGGACATTATGTTGTTTGATCCCTTTTTTGTAGACTTTGATGCTTTTACAGAGTTTATCAATTTGTGGCTTCATGTCCTGCAATTCTTTGTTGGCAAGGCCAAGGAACAAGCGATGAACCAGCTCATGGAGGCGAAGAGCGGCTGAGTTGGACACATGCCGTAGTAGTTATACATACAGCGGTGCATATCAGATTGGTTCGCATGTTAGAGCGCTTGTAGGAAGTTCAGTTCAACCAGAAAGAAGTGAACCAGTTCCATGAAGTTCGGCACTCAGCTTGAAGACAAAGGTGACTAATTAGTGACTAACTGTGTGGGTCCTTGCTACAATATTGGGAGCACCAAAAATGCAAACCACTCCATGAGAAAGAAGTTGGCGATTAATGATCTGTTGCACCGGTGTTGTAGGCACACCACCTGACTGCAGGCTGTAGGCATCGATTGTACTTTGGATGCGCTTTCAATAGCTCAAGTCCATACTTGGACCAAAGCACGTGAACCTATGCAACAGCAGACGGTCAGTTGACAATCAACAAACTCCGTGAATCATTGCAGACATGAGCAATGAATGCACCTGGCCCTACACCACATATTTGGCTTTTGTTTTAGCCTAAGCTGTCAATGCAGCACAAATGTTACTGAGCTCACTGGCGAAGGGACTCCAGTGTTGACTTCAGTCGGCAACTCCACTCGTCCTAGGGATTTTCGGCCTTTGCTCGGCCTCATGAGACGCTCTCTGCAAAGTGCTTGCAGACTGCAAAGACGACTGGCCACTGGCGCCGTCGCTCATCGGCAGTGTCGAGCAAGAAGGTCTTCACCCAAACGAACGATGAACTTTGCGTGGACGTGCTACCATGATGTTACGACTTCCTTTAGATTGGTTTCACAGAGATTGCAGCAGGAATGAGAGGATTCGCATTGACAACAAACTGTTTCCGATATGCGCTTCTGGAGCTGTGGGCCGTATGGACTTCCTTGGCCACTTCAGGTACCGCCAGCTGGAAGAGGCCAGCTGAGCAACATCAGTGTAGGATGCTACTAGTAAGTAGATAAACAGATATAAACAGCGGAGGTCCATAGACAGTGGAATGTTATTGAATTTCCAGGCGTGTTTGTTGATATATTTCACGATCCTCACTTCCACAAATCCTCAATCCTCCCCGAATGAACACTTCTGAGAGCATGTTGGTCTGCAAATCTCCCGAATGGCAACATTTGAATTGCAGGTATCATTGCCGATCCTTCGGCTTGGGTAGGAGTTGCACGTCCGAGACACCCTGCATTTTCCGCACTCCGGACCTTTGCTGATGAGAACCAGCTACGGAAGAGTGAACAGACCTTTCAGGAGAGGTGCAGTAAGAGCTTCAGTGTGCTTTGCAGATGCCAACATAAGAAGCAGTCCCTGCCGCTGCTCATGCTGCAGGACAGCTTTGCTGAAGCCCGCCTTTGCTGCTTTTCTCACGATAGTCCCGACGGGTTCAATCAAGACAGCCAAAAGTGCATTTGGCGCGACATTTGCAGAATTTACAGCTAGTATTTCCCAGTAACCAACCTCCAAAACACAATCACACCTATTGCACGCTGGGAGTGGGAGCCTTGGACAATCATGCAGATGAGCAGAGGGCAATGTCCCTTTGTAGTTTCATGTCGTTTAATTCAATTGATGCATCCGCATCCTTTGCTTTGCCTTGTTGCTCGCTTGCTTTCTGAATGTTGCGGTCGGAAATCTCAGGTTTGGACGATGCACGAGAGCCTTTGGATTGCATGTTGCTCATCGTATATGCAATATATATATATACAATACTGTATATATTATATATATATTGTTTTAATATATATATATATATTATAGCTGATTCATATAACATATATATTATATGTATCATAGGGCACGTTTGCCCAATGATATGTATGTGTGTGCGCTCGTTAACACATTGGGGATCAATGGGGTATGTTGGCTGTGTGTTTTAAGTGTTGCCAGCTTGAGAATCATGGTGCATCGCAGTACCCCAGGTCGCAGGGCACCACCTATTTCAAGGAGACATAGAGCGACAATCAAGCGCATCAATACTAGTTGGTTGATGATGGATCACAGATTTTGAAGAGCTGGATACTTTAACAGGAAGTGTGTTCACCTACATGTACTACATAGTCACGTGACAGAGCAGTTCCCTTGTAGCAATCAATCGCTCCGAACATGTTGTTCTTCAACAAATGCGTCCCCATGCTTGTGGCGTGCATTTGTCAGAGAGCTACAACTCACCGGTTTTTGCATTGATCCAGCAGGGTTGCACCATCAGACCAATCTTTGCTGCAAACTGGTCACTCCCGGGTAGTTTGGTACCGATGCAGCTTGTTAACTTGTTAAAAGATTGGTTTCTGGCATGCTTTGACCTTTTTTATTTGAACCCAAGGCATGTTGAAACAATGTGTTCTTTCTTTTCTTCAAGCATGTTCAAGCTCGTTTGGCTGATTTGTAGACATTGTATCATAGATGCTTCATTGTTTCATTATACTTTCATATGATGAACACGTTTCAATGCATGTTTGTTGAAACCGGTGTTTCTAACTGGGAGGATGATATCGAAGATGCAGAAGAGGCTGTGACCAAGGTCTCACAGGCGTACGAGGCATCTTGCCGTGAGTCTGGGATGCTTTGTGTTGGCTGTAGTGAAGAGGCAGCTTAAAGTACAAGACATTGGAGAGCAATTGAGCGAACATGTGGATATGTAGTTGTATATGTGTTGTACCTAACTCTTTTGCATATACTGTAGTTAGTTGCTCATCTCAGTTCCCAAGATGGTGCAGGATCACAAGTCGCTTCTTTCAGAGTCAGGCGTGGCAGAATTATTTTGGGCACCCAGCGCGCATGCTGTGTTTTTTCAAGAAAACATGAGCACATGATGCTGGTCAGAAGTCAGAAGTCACAGAAGTCGTGAGGTTCCAAACTCCGGGAATTCGAAGACGCGAATGGTCTGAAAATGAAATCCTTGAAAGAAGAGCTGCTTGGAAACTCCAAAAGACACAGCATGCTCCCTTTTGTAAGATGTGTTGTTCCAAGTCAAGTGCCCATGTTGGAGCACCTCTTAGGTTTGCTCAGCTGCTGCATGAAGACGACCATGAGTGAGACACGGCGCTGCAGATTTGTCCCCTGTGGTTTGGCCAAATCCGTCCTTTTGAGACAAAGCGTGTAGAGAGTGTAGGCTGTTTTCATGGCGAGAGGGTGCCAGGCAAGTGCACTAATGGTTTTTTCACCGTACCTCCATTGGTTGAGGGACGATGTCGCAGTACGCTGTACACTTTGATCTCTAAGTCAAAAGTGGCGTCCTTTCCGGACCGTTTCTTTGATGGTTGTCAAAGTTTCAAGCATATGCTGTGAAGCTATGGCTTGTATCCAGTGCTAGCTAGCAAAGCCATTCCCCAATTTCACTGGCGACAAGGTGTTCTTGCATTGGTACCATGTCGATGATGATGAGGACTGTCCTCGGATTGTCGTGTCGCGCCTGTTTAGGTTGTTCCTAGTAGCGATGCACTTGTTCCTAGTAGCTTCTTGTTACTACTGGTAAGGCACCTGTTACTAGTAGCGTGGCACTTGTTACTAGTAGCATTTCCGATTCAAGCCAATCGGGTTTGCAAATGTATCAGATGAAATGGGGCCTAGTGCGACGGAGGACGTCATTGAGAGGGCCAAGCAGCTCGACGAATCCGACGCAGGCCCTCCGAGACTCTAGACCTTGCAGAGCCTCATGAGCTTTTAACATGTTGCCAGTATCATCCATGATGCATTATCATGCATCATTCGACTGAAGAGTCACCTTTCGTGCGGGCCAGGTCTTAGCAGGGAACTCGTGCGGCGTTTGGTCCGAAATACTGGTGTGCTGAGAGCTCAGAAACAGACGAAAGTCCTCCAACTGGGGCAGGGTCCTCAGATGGTTTGAGACTTCTTGCACTGAGTCATGCTATGGACCGGTTTCAGGGCTTGGGATGAGCCATTTGGTTGGATGTTTTTTTTAACAGATTGCTGGAACATCATGCAACTTTTTTTTTGGAAGTGCTCCTTCTTGAACAACGCTTGCTTAATGTACGTTTATGTGCGAGGACTTTGTGCCTGTGCATAACGAAACGCGCATAATTACTGTTGTGACATCAATTTCGTCAAACATGTCAATAACCGTTAAAAGAGAGTCGAACACCAAGAAAACTAAATACACACCAAATTTTAAACAGACTCAAATATTCAAATAATACACAAGAAACACACATCAATGACGTTAATCTAGATTTGTGTTTTATGTTTTGTGTTTTTGTTGTTTAAGGTTCTTCCAGTTGTTTGTTGTGTTTATTTGTTTGTCCTCGAGTTTGGTTCTGAGTTCTCCTTTCTGGTTGAGTCTTCTGCTGAGTCTTGTTTTTTCATGTTTAAAACGTACTGTGCGCTTTCTGGGATTTGGTGGCCTGCATCCGTGTTTTTTTTTTTTTCTGAACATAAGATTAAGGTCTCTCGGGCCTGAGCGCAAAGAAGCCCTGGACGCTCGATTGGACATCTTGGAGGAGGTGAGCTCGTTCAACATAGGTTCGCATCTCCATTTCAGAGGTTGCCACACAGATTCCAATCTAGATTTGTGGTGATTTGTGGACCGTGGATCTCCATCACCTAAATGGATCCGAATGATCAATGTTCCTTTTGGTTTGCACCATCAACTCTCGCTACCTTTGCCAAACTTGTCATCTAAACATATTAGAGTGGACACCCCAGTAACTTCGCAGGAGGGCAAACTGAAATTCCACGGCTTCTTAAAGCTCATGCGATGGATCGTGGCCACCTCAGCCACCTCAGCATTTGTCTCATCGTGCTCACCAACACGCAGCTTTGACGACCGATGACCAGCAAATCCAGCACCAAAACGCCTAGAGTAAAGAAGTTGGAGTAGTCAGTCACTGAGTAGTCGCTCCATTGCCACTCACTTCCCACATTGTTTGACGTTTTGGCTGCTCAGCTCGACTCCGACTTTGGAGAGATCAACTCGCACATTCAGCAGCAAGGCGACAAAGGCCCAGTGGGTCAGCTGGCTTGGACCCTGATGGGCTCCTGCAAAGTTGATTGTTAAGTCTGTTAAGTGTCATAGCTCCTTACTCTGTATATAATTGCCGTTGCCTTTGTGCAAGTGGATAGCTCTCCAGAGTTCCCACACAAATCCCCGCAGACCAATTTGTGTGTCACGTGTAGTACGTGCGAAAATGTGGGAAGCCGCCTTCAAAAAGAAAAGTCCGGAGGCTTTCACCAAATCGATGTACCTCCACTTGCTGGCAGGTAAAAGTACCTCATCATCGGGCCAAGCCTAGCTGCATCATGTCACCAAGTGTCACCCGTCTTTTTCATGCAAAAAAAGCTCGCACATGGCTGTGTTAAGACTAAAAGGGTAGGACTGCAGAAGGATGAGGCTGGGATGAGATGAGAACACATGAGAACTGTCTGTATAGTGTATACAGTATACAACTTTCTAGACGGCCAAGTTGTGGTGGTTGTTTCCATATGATTCAACTGCTTCATAGATCTTTGAAAGATTGTCAATGTCATCATAGGAGTGAAGCTGCTGTCACTGCGCTGAAGCACAGACAAACAGGTTTCGCGGTCAAGGCTTTTATCGGCATGGGTTGTAGTAGCTAGTAGCTGGGGGAGGTCAACAAGTGTTTGCCGGCCACCGCTTCAACTGAATAGCTTGCATGCATTATATACTTACAGAAGAACCTTTTGCGTGTGTGTGTGTGTGTGTGCGTGTGCGTGCATCGCATTCCAAGACGAAGGCTAGAACGCTGCTGCAGGGCTCAAGCTGAATGCGCAAGATGTTCGATATTGAGGGAATAACTGGAGTTGCAAGCCCTTGATCAGCAAGGCGCCATCAGAATGCTAGCTTACTTGTCATATATTGCACTAGGTTTGCGATTGTTTGTGACCATCAAGCAGAAAACAGCCGCATCACAATTGGGAGCTCAAGTCAGCACAGAGAGAGCCTTTTTCAGATCATGTTGCAGAATTCCAAGGACTCGCTGCGGCCATTTGAATGTAGGGATTGATCCTGCTGGAGACCCCCGTCAGCCAAAGCCCAAGAGTTGGCTCAGGTGGGCCGGCAGGAATAGCTATTTTGAACTAATCAACCAGCATCCAAAAAAACTGCTTTTTTTGAGCTTTTGCCCCATGCGCGTTGCCAAGTGAACTTTGGATCGCTCCACAAGTGCGTTCCTCATCGCTCCTCATCGCTTCATCGTTTCCACAAAGCTTGGTTGAATCCCACAGCCCACAGCCAATGCTTTGTGAGTTCTAAAGATGGGAGTGAGGTGTCGGTGTCAGACTAGACTTTGAGATAAGGGATCAATGGTGTCGGTGCCTCTCCCACACTGTTTCTCCGAAACATCGAGATCCTCTGGTCAATGGTCCACAAACAATTCTTGTGGCCAGGCGTTGGACATGGGTGCGGGACTCAGGATAGTGGATGCAAAGTGCAGTGCATCGCTCTGATTGTATTGACTCGGTGCAGATTGTCAGGTCAAGGTCAATCCGAAGAACTGCAATTACAATCGCCAAAGCCTGAGCAGGCTGAAAGCTAAAAAGTACTTTATGATCGATAAGGATCAATGGCACGGCCTCACATCTCCGTTAAGATTAACACGTGGAGCTGGTTCAGCTTGTGCGTGTTAGGGCTAGTTGCTGAAAGAGCTATCCACCCAGAGCACTCAAGGGCTTGTGTGCCCATTGGTGCTCAAAGCATTTCTGGCAGGCTTTGCTTTGACAGGGTATGTTCAAAGAACACCAGCGCATGCATGACTACACGATGTTAATCGATTTTATGCAATTTTTTGCTATGAGTATGAATCGATATGAACGTGCCCAAAGGCGCATTGAAATCGCTGAGGCTAACAGAGAAATACTCTCTGGGCAAAACCAAGTTGGGAGAGGCGGCGGTTTGAAAGCCACGACGAAGATATATATTAATTCCTTGGATTGCCAGGGGGCCTATGGCACCGTGTGGAAGGGCACTGATCGTCAGACTGGGAACATCGTAGCCGTCAAGCAGATGAGCAAGGCCTGGTGCTTGCTGGACTTGAGCGCCAGGTATATGTTTGTTATATATTTTGTCATACAATGTCACAAGCAAGAGAGAGAGAGAGGAAAAACATCAAAAAGCGGCGATTTGCTTGTTTATGTCGCTCTATCAGACTCTTTTGGTCGATTTTGATCACATGAGCCATTAGCTCGTAAGGCCAAGCTCAGAAGAGGAGGACCGATGTTCGATGCTCACCAACTACATATATACATATTCGTTTTAGATATGATTGAATAAGATTCATAACGGATTCCATCATTTGTGCAAATTCTGAGGTTCTGTAAAAAAAACCAAAGCACACTTCTCACTGATTTTCAACACTGCTCGTCCCCGAAGCTGTGTCTTTTTTGTTCAAGTGGCTGATTGTTTTCTCTCAGCTCTCGTTGGACCTTATCCCGTTCTCAAGGCAGGGGAACATGCACAAAATGATGCAACATGTAGTCTGTGCACTTGGTGCAACAGGTTGGTGAAGAATTGCCACCTGTGACGCTCTTGCCGATTTTCTCAGAGTTGCCATCACTAACTTCAATTATTCCAAAGGTTGCAATTGGAATGGCAGGTATTTGACATTTGACATGTTTGATTTCCAACCGGCCAGACCAACTTCGAGCCGGGTCAGCTGCCATATGCTTGTCTCAGGCCAGGATCTTTGAGAGCAGCAACAAGAGAAAGATCATCGTAGACGCCCGGCCAGCGCCTCACAAAGAGTATGAAGTCTATGGAGTCCACTGTGTGAGGAGCAATTTTTGGCCATTTTGTAAATCAATATAAACTACTAACAAGCAAATTCAAAAATCCACGAAATATATCGTAATGTATTGATCACTTCATGGATCAAATTTGCAGATCGGACGAACATCAACATGCCAACATATACCACAATTTGCAAGATTCCTATCTCATCCCCCGACACTTCAGGTTTCGCCTTGATTTGGTGGTCCATCCTCATCCAGATCCCTACGTCGGGTACTCGACGATAGAGACCGTTCCACTTGCACCAACACATTTTGTCCAGTCAAACCGGTTTGCATTTGATGAGGCTTCAGGTGCTCAACAGAAAATGCATTTACATTTGGCCAAGCCGAGTCTTCTTCGGGCCGCGCACCAACAAAACTTCTGTACCATATCATGACCATGTGAACAAATGATCAAAAAGTATGAAACTCCGTGGTGATAATTCTATTTTAGAAGCTGAGCCTTGTATGTTTCATTGGCTATCATCAAGTCAAGCTTGTCTCATTGTTCGGCACTGCGCTTCCATGGTTCTTTCGTTGTCCTCTGGGTGCGGATTTGACGTGTGGTGCGCAGTGCCCGAAGATGCTTGACTGGAGGCGCGCCAGGCGCGCAGCTGAATGAATTTTGGACAAAGCGGATGCCGGATGCTGTTCGAGAAGAAAAAACAGATTCATAGTGCAGCGTGTAGACTTAAAAAACAAGATGGAGCCCACGAACCCGAATGCAAACACGTTCGAAAAGTTACAAATGTCCAAATGACACTCTTGTAGGACACTCTTGTGGGACACTCTTGTGGGACACTCTCGTAGGACACTCTAGTGGGTCACTCTTGTAGGAAACTCTTGCGGGCACTGTTTTGGGACGCTCTTGTAGGACACTCTTGCGGGACACTCTTGTAGGACACTCTTGTGGGACACTCTTGTAGGACACTCTTGTGGGCCACTCTTACGGGGCACTCTTGTGGGACACTCTTGTGGGACACTCTTATAGGACAGTCTTGCGTGTCACTCTTATGGGACACTCTTGTCGGACATTCTTGTGGGACACTCTTGTAGGACACTCTTGTGGGACACTCTTGTGGGACACTCTTGTGTGACACTCTTGTAGGAAACTCTTGTGGGACACTCTTGTCGGACGCTCTTGGGGGACACTCTTGTGAGACACTCTTGTAGGGCACTCCTGTGGGTCACTTGCAGGACACTCTTGTGGGACAGGAATCTCTTCTAGGACACTCTTGTGGGACACTCACTCTTGTAGGAAACTCTTGTGGGACACCCTTGTAGGACACTCTTGTGGGACACTCTTATCGGACACTCCTGTGGGACACTCTTGTAGGACACTCTTGTGGGACGCTCTTGTAGGACACTCTTGTGGGGCACTCTTGTAGGAAACTCTTGTGGGGTATTCTTGTAGGACACTCTTAAGGGACGCTCTTGTGAGACACTCTTGTGAGGCACTGTTGGGGGACACTCTTGTGGGACACTCTTGTGGGTCACTCTTGTGGGACACTCTTGTGGGACACTCTTGTAGGAAACTCTTGTGGGATACTCTTGTAGGACACTCTTAAGGGACACTCTTGTGGGACACTCTTGTTGAGCACTCTTGTGGGACACTGTTGCGGGACACTCTCGTGGGACACTCTTGTGGGACACTCTTGCAGGAAACTCTTGTGGGACACTCTTGTAGGACACTCTTGTGGGACACTCTTATAGGACACTCTTGTGGGACACTCTTAAGGGGCACTCTTGTGAGACACTCTTGTGGGACACGGTTGCGGGACACCCTTGTGGAACAATCTTGTGGGACACTCTTGTGGGACACTCGTGTCGCGACACGGTCTGCCCACACACTAGAAGCAGTCACGCGAGCGTTTCGCACGAGACTTCCTTGTCAAGTCTCCAAAACGAGCGTTTCGTACGAGACTTCCTCCAAAAGTCACGTGTCAACTCTCCAAAACGAGCGTTTCGTACGAGACTTCCTCAAAAACTCACGCGTCAAAGTCTCCGAAACGAGCGTTTCGTACGAGACTTCCTCCAAAAGTCAAGCGGAAACACCCATCGGAGCACACACATCACGCAGCCCTGCCAAGCAGTTTCGCGATTCCAGCCCTCCAAACAACACCCGCTCACACGCCAAACCCTATAAGACAACGACAGTCACCTCTACCACAACTCACAACCTCACGATTCCCTGCGCCTGCCACGCATCTTTCCGCGTCCACACGTCTAACGCGCACAAAGTACTGCGCCTGCCACGCAATGTCACCTCCGTCACACCTCGCAACCTCACGATTCCCTGCGCCTGCTACGAAAATCACACTTCCACGCCTCAAAACCCGCACAAAGTACTGCGCCTGCCACGAAAAGTGACAATATCATCTCATGTGAGCTTCAACAAAATTTGCACCACACCACACGTTTGGAATGATTTCGATCCGTTCTGAGCACACTCCCATCCACCAAAATCGCCATTTCAGCTGAGACTTGTCACGAAAACAGAGCTTCGATGCCACACCCTGAAACGCAAATCCCAATGGCACGGCCAACTCCAACACCCCAAAAACACGACTCTCCAAACGCTAATCCCAATGGAACTGCGCAGAAACCTGCGGACCTCACAAAACGCTGCGCCTGTGCAGCGAAATGCATCACGTTTCTTGCGCGACGTGTCATTGTCATGCAAATCACAATGGAATAGCGGTGCAAACTGACACGTGACACATCTATGAAAAGTCACTTGCAAAAGCTTCCCCCTATGGCAGCGCCTTAGCGCTCTACTGCGAACACCTGCGGACGGTTGCGAACGGTTGCGGACGGTTGCGAACGGTTGCGGACGGTTGCGAACATAGAAGCAACCGGTCGCGAACAAAGCTCTACATGTTTTTGTGCCCAGGATGATCGGCCTCCTTTTCGATGGTGGGCATAGGACCAAGACGCAGTGGCACTGTGGTGCATCAGGAGGGGATTGGGAAAAAGGCGCTACCAAACGAAATTGTTTTCCACTTCAACATACAATAACGGTACCTACAGTTGTCTCTACTCTAATCAAGCAATTGTGGTTGCTTGACGCCGCTTGTCACGCAGCTCGTATCTCACCAAACTCGTAGCTTACCAAACTGTTCCATATTGGTCATCCGCCCGAATGTGCCCACAGGCCTTGTGGGTTTGGTGGGTATATGGGTTAGCATTCTGAATCAAGAATATAGACTGTTGCTGTTAGGAAAAATGGTCGTGGGAAGTCGGAAAGCCGACTGGGAAGCCTGTTTTGGGTTCTTACCATGATGGATCATGATGGCGTGCGTGTAGCCTATACCTATTGTTACACTTTAGGTTGAGTTGAGATTTTGATTGGGTTGATGTGCGTATTTCGACTGGACGGATTTGTTTTCAAGACAACCTTCTTCAGTGCTGCTAGTGTGAGGCACTCTTTGCTGCTCACTCCGGACCTCAGGATCATGTTCAGATCAAAAGCGTGGGTACCAAGTCTATATCGGAGCGGTGTGCACTTTTGGATTGCAAGCTAGGCTCATCGAGGTTTTGATCAGAAATCCTACGGTTGAGTTTGATTTCTCATCTTCAATTGGTTGGGTTTTACAAACATGGCGACATGAGTGATCTGACGTGGCATCTAGTCGACATGGCTCAAAACTCATCTTGCACTTGCCAGTTTTGCGGTGGGGCAAAT